TGCTAGATATTTAAAAGCCTCTTGTGTTTTCTTAACAGCAAAAGACCAAATATAGTACATTATTAGTAACATTAGGGACACACTTGTTCATAAAATGGATGAAATAAAACATAGGAAACAATATGGCAACAACAGATGAATTCTTTTGTGAACAAATACTTCCAGAAGTGTGTAGAAATCTTTGAAGATGATTTGAAACATCAAGAACTTAAATTATTTAATGCTGGAGGTTGCTATATATTTGAAGTACAGCTTTTTCTAACAAGGCCCAGATTATTATAGTAGCTATATTTTGTTTCAATAATAAAATACGTGAAGAACTAATTTCTTTTTGTGCCATTAAAATAAAGATGTATCAGGGAAAATAAATTCTTGAAAATAAGTGACTTCGTGAATGCAAAACAATGTAATGAGATAATTTCCTGTGATCATGATGTGTTTTGATTTTATAAGAGTTTAGGTTGCATACATATATGCACTTGCTAGAATTTATGAAATGGTAGGCTTATAATTTGCACATTTCATTGCATGTAAAATTTACTGCAAAAGGAAAAAAACGAATAATACATATAAAATTCTAGTTAATGATATGCATGTTGGACTGTTAAGGGGAAACTATATTAATGTGTTTGACTTGCTCTAAAATGCATTAAAAAACTCTTAAGATGGATTGGTAAATGGATTAATCATACAGAAAGCATATGGTGTAGTCATAGTATAGTATAACAAATACAGTTAAAATTAGAAATGCAGAGTCTAAGTGGTGGGTACATGGATGGTCCCTGTAAAAGTCTTCCAGCTTTTCTGTTGCATCATACTTAGGTAATCTATAGCAACACATAGGTTGATGTCAGATGAGCAAAGAGTATTTCAGTATGATATCAATGTTGTTAATTTTTCTTAAAATCTGACTGTTAGTCTGGGCATGTTGGCTCAAGACTGTAATCCTAGTACTTTGGGAGGCCAAGATGAGATTACTTGAGCTCAGGAGTTCAAGATCATCCTGGGCAACATAGTGAGACCTTACCACTATAAAAAATTTAAAAATTAGCTGGGTATGGTAGTGTGTGCCTGTAGTTCCAGCTACTTGAGTTGTAGAGGTGAAAGGATTGCTTAAGCCTTGAAGGCAGAGGCTGCAGTAAGACGTGATTGTGTTACTACACTCCAGCCTGGGTGACAGAATGAGACCCTATCTCAAAACAAAACAAAACAAAATAAACAACCAAAAAAATCCCAACTGTTGTATAGAATCCCTGTTGTACTCTGTAATGAGATGAGTAGTGACCATGAGAATCATTTGAATCACAAGAGCATCTCTGATTATCTTAAAGCAAAGATTATAAAAGAATTGTTGAATTTAAAAGATGAGTTGGCCGGGCATGGAACCTCATGCCTGTAATCTCAGCACTTTGGGAGGCTGAGGTGGGTGGATGGCTTGAGTCCTGGAGTTTGAGGCCAGTCTGGGCAACATGGCAAAACCCAGTCTCTACAAAAACATTTAAAAAATTGAAAAAAGCTAGACGTGTGAAGTTGAGGCTGCAGTGAATTATGTTCATGTTACTGTATTCCAGCCTGGGCAACAGAATGAGACCCTGCCTTAAAAAAAAAAAAGATGGGTGAAGTGTGTGTTTTTTAAATGAAAAGACAAGAGATGTCAAAATTGCTGACCCTTTTTGTGTGACAGTGACTATGTAATCTGCATTGTAGATTACATACCAAGCAACCAACCAATCAGTGGACACTCTTATTTCATTCCTTCAAGGTAAAGGTAATGTTTTAACAAGGAGTGAAAATGTAACTGCCTTTTGTAAAGGCTGTGATGAAAACACAGAGAGAAAGTTTTTAAAATCACTGGAAATATTTCTTTTATCATGTGATTTTTGTTGTCAAAGATATGTGTGTCTTATGAAAACTTATCTGTACTCTTAAAAAATACTTGGAAAAACATTTTGTATACTCTTCAAAAATGTTCCAAATGAAGAGGTTAGTCAGTAGGGAGAAGGGGGAATAGAGGAAGGAGAGATGTTGATAAAAGAGTCTCAAGTTTGTTAGACAATAGGAATAAATTTTGGTGATTTATTGTACAGCATGGTAACTATAGTTAGTAATGATGTCGTATATTTCAAATAGCTAAAAGAATAGATTTTAAATGTTCTCACCAAAAGAAAAACAAGTATATGAAGTGATAGATATGTTAATTAGCTTGATTAAACCATTCTACAATGTACTATAAACATATTTCAAAATGTATTGAACTACATAAATATATATTGTTATTTATCAATTAAAAATATTAAAACAAGCAAAACCCATGATACATATCTGGTAGCAAATGAGTGTCGTGGTAGAAACTCATCAGACTGGTCATATGTAATTTGTGTATTTTTCTAGCTGATTGTCATACTTCCATAAAAATAAATAAATGTAAGCAAAAAAAAAAAAAAAGTTTCAGTGGGTTTTTAAGCCAGTTGCTGAAAATGTTAAAATGTGACATGTTTTGATTAGTCTGCAAAAATGATCAATTGACATAAGGCAAGATGGATATTTCTTAAAGATCACAAAAACTTTTGCATGTTAGATGGAAGGTATTGAAAAGTGCAAATAGTAATTTATTTAAGTCCAACAAATGATGTATTTCATTAATTTTAATTCTTATATCTTTGTAATTATCCCCTTCTCAGCTATGGGAAGGGAAATTACAATTAAGTACTGAAATAAATGGAGCTTAGGACCTCACATTTCAATCACCAAATCACAAAATATTTATATTATTATTTTTTAAAAATACAATTTGGTTTCTTATTATTTTCATTATTATCATTGCTCTACTAAAAATGTTAAGCTTTTATGAGAGCAAAAAGATCTTTTATATAAGTAATAAGTATTATCAAATGATTGTTAATGTTTGCAATTTTTAATTCATTTTTTTGGGGGTTTTATACTCTAGGACTTACTAGTAAAATAGTAGGTATGTAATAAATATGCATATATTGGAAGGCTGTACTAAATTTCATTTTGATTGCTTTTTTGGCTGGTTTGTTGGAGTATGTGGTCAAAGAAGTTTGGAGAACTCTCTTTACTGATCACTCATAATCTGGCAAGCTATTATTTACAGGAGTAATTATTTGTTCTTGAAGTCTAAATGATCATTGTAAAAGATTATAAACCAGTACATAGTTTCTGATGTGGGAATTTTCTTTCTTTCTTTTTTTTTTTTTGGAGACATGGTTTTGCTGTGTTGCTCTGGCTGGTCTTGAACTCCTGGGCTCAAGGGATCCTCCTGCCTCAGCCTCCAGAGTAGCTGGGATTACAGGCATGTGCTGAACATTTGTGTTTAAAGGTTGAACTTTGATAAATGAAGTCCACCTTTAGACTAAATTCTGAAACAGTGTTTCTTAAAGTGTATAAATGGCATCAGCATTACCTGGGAACTTACTAGCAATGTAAATTCTCAGGCCATAATCCAGACCTACTGAACCAGAAATGCTGAGTAACAGGCTTTCCAGGTGATTCTAATGCTCACTCAAATCTGAGAACTACAAATTTAGATGATTCAGACTCATGGATCATTTGTATTTGTTTCTTTCTACTTCATTATATGTCTGAGACAGTTTCCTTATTGTATGTCTCAGTTTTAGCCCAGAGTTTTTTTCATTTCTTAGATTTTTTTTTCTTTTCCCCTCCTTTTTTCTCCCCTTCTCATTGTGAAAAAAAAATGTTATTTAGTGTTATTTTCACAAATAAATAATGCATTGGTTCTAAAAACTTGGGTGCCCCAGCTAATGGGAAAAATAGCTTATGTTGAAAGGATATATTTTTAAACATTTTCAAACTAATTTTGTTAACTACTGTATTAGTTGGTCCTCACATTGCTGCAAAGAACTACCTTAGACTGGGTAATTTATGAAGAAGAGAGGTGTAGTTGACTCACAGTTCTGCAGCCTTAACAAGAAGCATGTTTGGGAGGCCTCAGGAAACTTACAATCATGGCAGAAGGTGGAGGGGAAGCAAGCACATCTTACCATGGCAGAACAGAGAGAGAGAGAGAGAGAGAAGGGAAGTGCCACTTCTCTTTTAAACCATCAGATCTTGTGAGAACTCCCTCACTATCACAAGAACAGCAAGAGGGAAACTGCCACCATGATCTAATCACCTCCCACAGGCTCCACCTCCAATACTGGGGATTACAATTCAACATGAGATTTGGGTGGGGACACAGAGCCAAACTACTTCTAGTTACACTTAAATATGCATATAATTTCCTGTCTATACTATTTTGATTTCAACTTTCATAATCTCAAAATAGTTTTCTGCCAATGAAGATTTCAAAACAGACATTTCAAAGTATGCATCACCTAAACTCAACAATTGTTTACGAAGCAATAAATTTGCTTTATTTCTCTTTCTACACACATGTGTGTGTACATACACACATTTTTGTTGAACTATTTGAAAGTAAACTGTATACATCAGTACCCTTCACCCCTAGATACTCTGAAAAATATGGATTAAAGTAGCCGTTAATGGGACTAGTACAGTATTGTTTTGAAATGCCAATTTGTAACAAATGCTCAACCATTTATTAAAGACTCTTAAATATTTTCAAAGTCCTATTATAAATATCTTCATGAGGAAAAGTATAGAATACCAAGTTATGATGGTATAAATGAGTGCATGTTTCAGCCTTTCTCAACTAAAAGTTTCTCATCTGAACTACAAAATACAGTGGATGATTTGAGTGACTATTTTCTCAAATTTTCCAAGGATGGTATATAACTAGTGCCAATTCAGAGGAGAGAAGTTAATTCATTATATACAATGGATGTCTTGGGGTGTTAGGGCTTAATTCTCTCTTGGGAGCCCAGAAAGATATATGCATACATCTTTTAAGACCGTGCATATATAGCAGGTATATATAGCAAGGTCTTAAAAGGATTTTGCTTTGACTGGCTTGTGATGTTTATGCAAACAACGTTTTTTTTCTTTTCTTTTTTTTTTAGATAACAGGTCCACCAGGTTGTGGAAAAACTCAGTTTTGTATAATGATGAGCATTTTAGCTACATTACCCACCAATATGGGAGGATTAGAAGGAGCTGTGGTGTACATTGACACAGAGTCAGCATTTAGTGCTGAAAGGTATGAGATTTTATTTTCCATTATAATGTTTTACTTTTATATATAGCATGAAACATTTACACACAGGTTAACATTTCCCTCCACTTTTTTAAGAACAGAGAATGCTGTTTTAAATAAAATTTTCTTTTAAAATTGACACAGGAAAGTTACTTTTTGTCTTTTATATTCCTTTCTTATTAATATAAGTTGAGATCTTGGATAAATTGTGTTTTGCAGAAAGTTGGTAAGAAATAAGTTGAAAAAATAGGGAGGAACTTAAATAGAAAATGAGAGAAAGGGTACACTGAAAAGAAAAACAGTGGGTTAGCTGCTTTGTAAAGACAGATGTTTCTCAATTTACGATGGGACTCCAATCATGAATTCCAGATACCATTTCTTAATGAAAGGAATGAGGGTTCTTCCTTGGGGGAAATGGCTAACTCAATTCTGGAGTAGGGAATTTTAAAGTTGAATGTGAAACACAATAGTAGATAGCAAGGAAACTACAAAGACTATTTGGGAGGTGTCCACCGGACTCAGAAGAGGCTCCCACTGGCCAAAGATGGACAAGTTATGCATCCATATGAATAATAATAGCGGTGGATTAAAGCATGAAATAATTAAATGAGTCCATAATGACCTTAAGAGATGAAAAGGAACCAACTGATTATCATTGGAGGGTTCTGAAGAAGCACCTCATTATTGTGAAAATGGGCAAAAAAAGAAGTCAAGTATCTATTTTTCTGTTTCTATATGAACTATATTACTGAGTAATAACTTTTTTTTTTGAGATGGAGTTTTGCTTTTGTTACCCAGGTTGGAGTGCAGTGGTGTGATCTTGGCTCACTGCAACCTCCGATTCCTGGGTTCAAGTGATTCTCATGCCTCAGCCTCCGAGTGACTTCCAAGCATGTGCCACCATGCCTGGCGAATTTTTGTAGTTTTAGGCAGAGTTTCACCATGTTGGCCAGGCTAATCTCGAACTCCTGACCTCAGATGATCCACCTGCCTTGACCTCCCAAAGTGCTGTGTTTACAGGTGGGAGCACTGCGCCTGGCTTAAATCTGTCTTTTTATAAATGTACCTCAGTAGTAAATGAAGAAGGAATGATAGAATATCACCAAATTACAAACTCTAACAATCTAATGGATCTAGGCATTGAACATCACAAAAAGACGATGAGTCATTGGGGTATCAAATTTGAATGTGATCAAGACTTCAGATCCAGCCACCATTTTACAACATAGCTAGAGAAGAGAGGAACACATCAAACTACTCTAGAAAATGAAATTAGCAAAACCAAACTGGGAAATAAGAGAACAAACAACTTGGTTTTTCTAACAAATAAACTGTAAACTTAAAAAAGAGTTGGAAGGGGAACCTTTGGATTAAAACAGATTTAAAAACCTTATTGATCAATTGCAAAGTGATGAACTTATTTGGATCTTGACTTAAATAAATGGTTAAAAAAAACAGAAGGGTAAACATTGCGACCACTGGAAATTTGAACATGAAAATATGTTTGAGATTAAAGCTGGTAAAGACAGTTGTTCACTCAAGTTGTACAAGTACTCTTTAAAAAGCCAATGATTAGCCTTCAACTAACAAGCCAAGTAGGTATTAAATAGCCAGTTATGTCATAAATAGCGTAAATAGCTCTTACAAAAGTCTTGGGGAATTTGGGTAAAGAATTCAAAGATTAAGATTATTTTTATAACAGCAGTCAGTGCACTGTAATGGATTTCTGCTTTCTTAGCACCACATACAAAATTAAGTTTAGGATGTCTTCTTAAGGAGTAAACCATTGCATGATTTTTTTTGTTATCAGTATTACAATTCAGAGCAGTGTAAAAACCATCAATGATTTGGGTGATATCAGCATACATACAGTAGCAGAAGACTAACAGGTGACTTGTCTGCATTTTTCAAATGAATTTGTGGAGAATCTTGTGCTTTTTTGTCTTTTTATAGTGCCTTAATTATTTACTTTTTTCATTCTCCCTATTTATTTATTTCTCCTTCATAACTTTTTCTGCTTATGTGCATGTTGGTATTTACATCAGAGGCAGGTTGGAAAATGAAGAGGTAAGATTTTAGCTCCTTTTTGGAATTATGTTGCATAATTCACAAGGAGCTCTTATGAAGGTCATTTAAGAATAGGGATTGAATTTTATATTGTATTTGGTTTTTTATTCTATTCTCCACAAGGCTTAAAGTGAGTGATCATCTGGCTCCCACATGGAATAGATTTTGAGGTCTGGTGATAGGGCCAGGTAGAATAAAAAAATACGAGTGCTCTTTGGTATATATGCCAGACTTGGCATTCTTACACTACCTTCTAGTTTGTCATGGTGGGTCATGAATGGAGTGGCCCTGTAACGTCTGATCACATTTCATCCATTCTGTTACAGGGCAGCTAATCCCTATTTGGAATTATCAGGGAAGGTTGGTCAATTGGTTAGGAAAGCTTACTGCTGCAGATAGCTGACTATCCAAAGAACAGTAACTTAAACAAAAAGAAGTTTATTTCTCTCATCTAACGTAACCTGAGTAGGTGGTTGCTGGCACTGGTTCACCTGCTCAGTGATGACAGAGAGACCTAGGGCTGGTACATTGGATCCATTCTATGCTCAAGTCAGTGGGAAGGAAAAGGGTTAACTATATCTTTTATTAGGAAAGTGTACTTTTATTCAGACTATCTTCCTCCTCCCATCTGTGGATTTCCTTTTTGTTGCCTGTAATCCTCCTGCAGATTTCTCACTGAGCCACCTCTACATGTAAAAAGAGGCTGGGAAGGTGAGGGGAGAAGATCATCATAGCAATCATGATGAGTTGTTTGGGCCTGGTTAATATTGCTACCTGAATAAAACTGGGGCTCTCATAGCAAGGAAGAAGTGGAAATAGATATTGGATTGGTAATTAACAGTTTCTGTTTCAGCCCCAGCTGTTTCTGGACTTAGTGAAGAGGTAAGGCAGGGTAATATGAGACTCAAAAAGGTCTATTTTATAGGTCTGCATGTTTTAGCAAGGTCTCCACTTTGTACTTACAAAGCCAGCTGTCTAATCAGCACAAATGAGGGAGCATTTAAAGGATTAATATGAGGAAGGATTGAAGGACTCACATATAGAGAATTTAGGGTGAGAAAAAGTAGAAAATAATTTCTTCCTGTAAATATCTAGGTATCTTTTTACTAAGAAGGACAGAGAAAACAAGGAAGGAATAAATAGAAACTACTTGTTTAAAATGTATTAAAGAAAACAAGAAAATCCTGCAGATGATATACTTAAAAGCACTTTGGAAAGGTTAGTTCTGTTTTACATGTCTTTTAGAGGATAGTAATCTAAAATAGCTGTTAATCATGCTTGTTCATCATAGACTGCAATGTATCTCCAGACTGTTTAACAATTAGAATGGGTTTGTTCAACCCGCAGCCCATGGACCTCATACAGCCCAGAATAGCTTTGAACGTGGCCCAACAAATTCGTAAACTTTCTTAAAACATTACGAGGTTTTTGCAATTATTTAAAGATCATCAGCTATCATTAGTTTTAGTGTATTTTATGTGTGGCCCTAGAAAATTCTTCTTCTTCCTCTGTGGCCCAAGGAAGTCAAGAATCTCCTGAATTAGGTGATTGTATAGTCTGGCACTAACCAGACTGAGTTAGAGGGACTGCTCTGGGGATAGAAGGGGAATGCTATTCAGGCAGAGATCTGGATTCTCTTCTGATTGATCCAGAAAAGGTCTGCTGTTTTGTTTGTTGGTTTTGTTTTACTTACTTAAGATCTGATGTAATCTTAGGTACCATATGCTTGTATATACCTTGACAATATGGATAAGTAGATTAAGTCAGTGACCCACCCCCATATTCTAGTCTACGAAAATTTTGGCAATCATGAGAATTCCAGTATACATGAACTGAATTAATTTATTGTCCATATTAGAGACAGTTACCAAAAGATGAAACTGTGCATTAAAAATAAAAAATGAAGGTAATATGGATGGCAAATAGTAATAGAGATATTAAAATAAGGTTTTTTAAAGAATGAAATGGATAAAGGAAAATAAATTTGAGTCTTAGAACTGCAAATTGAAGGGGATCAATAACTATGTGAGAAAAACTGAGGGATCTAGGGAAGTAAGAGATGAGAGCCAGGACTCTGGAAGGTGGGGACCTGAGGAGATAGAATATAGAACTGGAATTTTAGGAGATAGAAGTGGATATTCCTGAGTTGTAATGAAATCAGAAAAGCTTTGAAAATTGGGAAGACAATTAGTCCAGCAAGGGAGGAAGACATTAATCAAAGAATCACTGAAATGTGAAATTGTAAATATTATAACAGAGTCTACAAAGGAGAGGTACCTGTATTGGTACTGTATGGGAGCAGTGGCTAAGCTTAGACCTGAAGGAGCTGCTGTATTTGGTATGCATGTCACCTCTCAGGGTGCCAGGTTCCCCACAGATAGTTCTGTTTAATACTTAACAAACTACAGTCATGTGCCACATAACAACATTTCAGTCAAGGATGGGCTGCATGTAAGATGGTGGTTGCGTAAGATTATAATACCATAATTTTTCTGTATCTTTGTAAAGTTTGGATATAAAGATATTTGTCACTGTGTTACAACTGGTATACCATAGAAGCTAATTTGTACGCAATTGTTAACACTTAGGCTATATGGTATAGCCTATTGCTCCTAGGCTGCAGATCTGTACAGAGTGTTAATATACAGACTTGTGGCCTAAGTGTGTAGTAGGCTATACTACCTCGGTTTGTAGAAGTACACTTTATGATGTTCACACAACAGTGAAATTGCCTAATGACACATTTCTCAGTACATATCCCCGTTATTATGCACCATTCGGCTGTGTTTAGAGTGTCATTCTTTCTGCATTTGTAAATAAAATTGGAGACATTGCAGGTGGTGGTAGTGGCCAGCCATGACTCAGGCTGATTCTGAAGGTAATACCAGTGTGGTCTTAAGGCCATTGCCATAATTGCTTGTTGGTATAAATTTGGA